GCCGCAGTCCTCGCAGGCGTAGGGGCGCTCCCCCGAGTGCGAGCGCCGGTGCACGATCAGCGTGGAGCTCTGCGAGAAGGCCCGGTTGCACACCGTGCACAAGTAGCGTGCCCCGGCCTCGTCTGACCCCTCCGGCTCGGGGCCACGGTCCAGGGCTGCCCCAGCGCTGGCCTGGCCCTCGGCTCTGGGGGTGCCACCGTGCTCAGCGCCCTGCGCCTGGGTCCTGTCCGACATCCTGGCACCTGGGGGGAGCAGGGGCAAAGGTCAGGATGGCCTCGGGCTCCAGCTCCAGCCCCAGCCCCAGGCCCGGGTTAGCAGTGGGGCAGGGGGCAGCACCATGCCCGGCCCAGGGAGGCTGCAGGGACGTGGGGGAGGGAGGGGCCGGGAACTACAGCTCCCAGCAGCCTCCGCGGCGCCGGACCACGGCTCCCGGCATGCCTCGCGCCCGCCCGCTGGTAACCCTTTCGGCGCTGGGTGGTGTGGATCAGCTGGTCTACACTGCTGCTCCGCCTTCTGCTCCCTGCTCGCTCTCCTGCTCCGCTTTCTGCTTCTTTTTTGTTCCCATTCTTCTGCTGTCTGCTCCCTGCCCAATTTGCTTCCCTGCTTTCTGCTCCACCACGCTGCGTCCGATTTCTTGCCTGATCCACTGCTCCGCTTTCTGCTCCCTGCTCCTTTCTGCCACTCTGCCCAACACACACCATGCGTTGCCCCGTCCCGGGCGATGCCAGCAGAGAGCACTGGGGTGCGATGCGGGGTCGGGCGTGGATTTGGACGGGGTGGTTTGTTCGGGCGGGGATGACTCGGGAGGTCCCGTCCAGCTTGCCCCCTCTGTGACTGGGGCTCACCCCCAAGCTGCGGCTGGCTCTGGGGCACGGAGAGGTGACAGCCGGGCGCGGCCGGCTCCTTGTCTAGCACCCACAGAGCTATGTAGAGGTGGCCCACCCAACACAGCAAGGCGGCTGGCTGTGGGGTGCTGGGCGGGGAACAAGCATTAGACTCGGGGTTACTCCAGTGCTCTGATTTCACGAAGTGCAACCCACCCATCTCCTTTTCCACCAGGTGCAGCATATAACCATCAGACCAGCCTGCCTTGCTGACTACCCAGCTCTAGAAAGATATTTTTCAACAGACAAGACCAAACCCAGGTCTATGCAAACCGCTTCCCCCTGCCTGTGGGCTTCTCAACACAACAGTGCATCAGCCACATCCTTTGCTGGCAGAAACCAGCATTGCCCCATCAGTTCCAACATGGCAACAACCAGCTTATGTCTGCTGAAGATCTGGGCTGCTGACATGGGTGGAGACATGGGCCAGCGGATACTAGCTGGAGACCTGGCCCTATGGACTGCAATGTCACTACAGCTGGTTTGCGCCAGCTGGAGATTTCGCTGCATTGACTTCAATGGAGCGATTCTTGATTTATACCGCCTGGGAAAGAGCCCACTGACTTAACTGGAGCAATCATTGCTGACTCCTGATTTACTTACTCCCCTGCACTCAATGCATGACTGTATTTAGCACAAGGGGATTGAGTTCGGACCACACTAGGGTCAGGAGAGTGGACTCTGGCCTTGCTGTCCCCAGTGAGTGACCTTGGATTTACCCCTACAGAGCAAAGCTCTGACACTGGCCGTGGGTGCAGATTGAGGCTAGTTGGATTTTGGAGCCGAGTAATCTCATTTTGCCAGCCGCTCAGTTGGGCCCTGTAGAAAGCAGCTCGATTTTATACTTGACCTGTCTGGATAGGCGAGTTCCCCGCTTGAGCTGGTGACGGGCTTGCCAGGTGTATTGATTTCTGGCTCCTGTCAGGTGGCTTCACCCAACACAAAACTATTCCTGACCCCACCCATGCCGGTGAAATGCAGTGAGCAGAAAAAACAAGAAACGGAAAGTGAAACTTCTCATACAGAGGTTTATTATTTGAGAGAGGAGCAAATTAAGTTTCATTCTGCTGCAGGAGCATTTTCTCGGTCATCTCCAAGAGGGTGTCCAGCGTGGCACTGGAAGAAGGAAAGCAGACAGACTTGCTAGATGGAGGTTTGTGGGACTTGGGGGGAGAGGACTGGAGGGAATGGCATGAGATCTTGGGAGATGGAGTATTTCCAGCTCAAAGTTGTGGCCAAGGGGAGCTACTCAAGACAGCCAGCAGCTCTTGAGTATGAAGCTTCCTTTGCTCGCCATCTGATACTGAACAGCTGGCTCATCATTTTCAATGCAAAGCTTTACAGAGCACTGCATGGGTTGCAGGCTTGCCAACCAAAGGGAAAAAAATCACTGCCAATCTGCCATGCTTTTACTGATAACTAAACTTTTATATTGATGTGTTTTTTTTACTGACATCTGTTTTACATAAAGGAGGTGTAACCCTTCAGGCCGTGATGGCAGTAACGAGGGCAGGATTTAACACTAACCATTGTAGTAAAAAAAACTTGCAGATTGCAAGTTAAAAAACCCCTCTTGGTTGGCAACCCTGCTTGACCAAAGCAATGGTTTTACACTGTGCTGCCCCCACCAAAGTGCTCCCTACCAACTCCCACACTCTGACCCTCCCAACTGCACCCCATACAATGCTGTCCCCACCTTACCCCTGCTGGCCTTGCTCCTCCCCATCCCAGCACAGCCCCCCCATGCACTGCCTCTCCTCCTCCCAGCCTGTAGCTCTATCCCAGCCACACCACTCTCCTTCCTGTGCTTTCCTGGCAAGCAGCTGTTAGATGCAGGGGATGGCGCAGCAGCGCATGGCTGGGCAGGGAGAAGGTGCCAACATAGGCTTCTGTGAGTCATAAAGTCCTGGCAAGAGCTTCCTGCAGGATGCCGAGTCCTGCTCGGGCACTTTGTTCTGTCTGTCCATCCAGCTTAGTGATTTTTATGGAGGACTTGTTTTTTTTTAGGGACCTAATGCACATGGGCTTTTGCCCTATTTTTATGGGCTGCCCACAAATGTATGGCCACCTGGCCACCCTGATGGGTTGGGCTCTGAGGGGGAAATGCTTGTTCTCTGGCTCTGTTACAAGAGTAGAGGCCACTTGGGGAAGGGGATCAGTTTGTCAGCCCATGTGCTTTGGCCCACTGGATCCCAGTCCTCTTCCACAGCTAGGAAAAGAAGCCAGGACTTCCATCCCCAGTGGCCCAACCCAATAGACTGTATTCTTCTCTCGCAGCCTGGGGTAAAACTTAAGGGTCCTGTCTCACCCCTACCCCATCTGCTTTAACCCATTCAACCCCACTCTCCTGCCAGGCCTAGGACTAGACCCCAGGAGCACGGATTCAGTTTTCTAATCCATAAATTCCACTTTTCACCTACAGCTCAGGGGAGACCCCAGGCATCCAGCCCCCCAGCAATCCTGGCATTGACTTACAACTGCCTCTCTTCAACAGTTTCAGAAGCAAACAAGGACTAAGATCCACTTGGCTCCTTCCCATTCTTCCTGGCTGTGCCACTGACCTGCCCTTCTGTCCTGGATGTTAGAAGGAATAAAAGGGACCCCAGCACCAGTCAGCAGAACTGGGAACAAGCTGCAAACCACTCAGGAAGATGGTAGCCTTAGCTGAGGGAGCTCTCAGATGCTTCCATCCCACTTCGGGCAACACTGAAACAAAGGAGGCACCCAAGGTTGACCAGGAGTGCCATGCGCTGTGCATGGGGCCAAGCTCTCCGGGCTGGACCCAACCAAAGATCTCCCAAGATGACAGGCAGGGCTACCATGAAGAGGTCCCTTGCACCAAAAGTACCCTCTTTGTCACCCCCGCAGAGATGCGCCTCCTGGAGCAGCTGCTGGGGGTCTTAGCTCTGTCCCTGTGGAAGGTGGAGATCACTTGGCAAAACCAGGAGGATGCAGGTACCATCGTCTTCTCTGGCTCCCATGAGGCAGTGCTGGCAGCCCAAGTGGCCGTCAGCCAGATGCTTATCAGGGTGAGCCAAGCGGTGAGACCTGGTCCCATCCGCCCCTCAGCAGCTGAGCTCCGGGTCATTGGATTTTATTGCCTCCGGCAAGGGCTGAGCCTGTACCTCTGGCACGGGGATGCCTCTGGCCTCAGGGGGGATGTGATCATCAGCATCTCAGGCAAGGGAGGCTCAAATCATGGTGCCAGCGTGCTCTCCCAGAGGCTGCTGAGCCAACGAGGGGCTCCCCACACCCATGTGGACGTTCTCCTGTCTCGCCTGGGACCTGGCAAGCTGGGAACAGGCGCTCTGCTGCTAGCCCTGCAGTCTGCGTCCCAGGAACAGCACGCCTCTGTAGTCATCTGTGTGGATCCTGCAGGCACGTGGATGGCAGAGGCTGTGGCTTGGGTGATGACCATGTTCACCAGCAGCCACCACGTCTCCTCACTCAGCAGCATTTCTGTTGTGACGAAAGATGGTGCTCTTGCAGCTGCACTCCATGCAGCTTGGAGGAGGTACTGGTCGACTGGGGGGAGCCAGCAGGAGCTGCTGGGGAAAGTCCTCCAAGCCCAGGAAAGCGTCAGTGTTGAAGTGGTCACTGGCTCCATGGCAAACCAGAAAGTAAGTAGCGGGGTGGGCATTTGGGACACCTGGGGTCTATTCCAGCTCAGCCAAATGAGTGAGATCAAGTCATTAGATTGGGCATGACTTGGAGTCAGGACACCTGGGTTCTGCTCCCAACCTGGCAAGAAAAGACAGCTTTAGACCGGGGGCAGTGCCACGACCCAGCACCCCTGGGCTCTACCCCTAGCTCTGGGACTGGGGTGGGCGCCGGTGGTTTTGAACAGGAAACTAAATGTCTCTGATTCTCGCTGCTCTGTGGGAGGAAAGCAGCCTCAGGGCTAGCCTTGCTCTGACCCAGCAGAGCTTGTGATTCCTGGGGCAAGCAGACGTAGCCGACTACCTTGGCTCTGGTTTCCTTCAGACAGATGTGGTGGTCCTGCCATTGGCTCCAGGGTTGCACGGGCCGTGCTGGTGCCGGGGGACCCAAGCCCTGGCAGAAACGGCTTTGGCAGCTGCACCCCACCTTGGAGAAGCAAGTCCAGGAGAGGTGAGAACGGTCCTGGCCGATGCTGTCCCAGATTTGAACTGCAAGATGCTGTATGTGGTGCGGCTGGATGAGGAGCAGCTCTGGCACCAGGGAGCACACCAGGTAATGGAGGACCTACTAGACACCCCAAAGGTCTCAGATGCAGCCCCCATGGCATCTAGTTTTCTGCATGCCTGGATTTTCATACTAATACTAGGCATTTCTTCCCCCACATGCCCCTGAGGTCCCCCCACCCTTGGCTGTTCAGCAGTTGTACTACATGCCTAGACCCAATTTTCCTACCTACAAGTCACCTATAGAGGCT